TTTTTTTTTTTTCCTTTTAAACCCTTGCCATCCCCTGGCGTTACTTAACCCGGGGCAGCCCCGGCCGCCGGAGGAAACAGCAAACCGAGGCGGGACGGCGGGGGAAAACGGCTGAGGGGCGCCGCGGGGCATCCTGGGAACTGTGGTTCGATCCCGCCACAGTGGCGCTTTACGGCAGGGCGTAACGGTGAGGAAAAACGCGCCGCGTCCCGCCGCTGTTTGCGACAGAGTGAGCGCGGGAGAGGCGAGCCCAGCCCGGCTGGCGGGAAACTGGTGGGTCGGGTAGGGGCTGCTCCGGGTGAGGGAGAGCCCGGCCAGGGTCGAGGGGTGGTGGGGGCCTTGTCCTGCCCCGTCTGCGGTGGGTGGGGGGCAGCCCCGGCCTGAGGGAGAAAGGCCTTGACAGGGCAGAGGGGGCTGGGGACCCTGCCTGGGGCGGGCAGCACCCGCCGGGTAACTGCGTCTGGTGGGAGGAGAAGCCTCCAGCTCCGTGCAGCTCTGTGCCGTGAATGGCGCCGGGGCAGCTGGGCAGAGGATGCCCTGGGCCCTCCTGGGGTCGCCGGTTAAAGGCTGACCAGGGCCGTGCACGGGACATTCAGCGATCGCTCTTCATCCTCAGCAGGATCCGGCCCCAAGGCAGGGACACAGCAGCATGCCTTGGCCTCGCGGGAGCTGTCACCACCTCTTGTCATGAACTTTCGAGCGAGGCTTTTTGTTAACTGCGTGGTCAGGATGCTGCCGCAGCCCTGGCGTCTCTTCTCTCGGGCTGCGGAGGACGTGGCGTTGCAGAGGATTCGGAAGGTCCTATGCGTGGCTGAGAAGAATGATGCTGCCCGAGGGATTGCAGATCTGCTCTCCAACAGTAGAATGCGACGGGTAGGCATACACCACATCCCCTTACTGCTTCCCTATATGTGTTCTGGTCTGGTTTAGCTGACTGGAAAGGGTCAGCTCACCAGGGCCACTGTGCAGCACAGTCCTGGTCTCAAGTGTAGTCTCTGTCTTGTGTGGTAGCCTCAGCTCCCTCAGCAGAGCTTGGCACAGGCAGTTCGCATAAGCATGTGTGACATCTTGCACCATTTTTGTCTCTAGCCACTTCGGATTGCATGAGGGTACACGAATAGCTTTCTTTTGTGGACAAACACTGCTTGCCAAAATGTATTTGGGAGTCCCTTTTTCCTTGTGACTTAAGTCCTGTTGGAATTCAGCTCCCCAGCTGCTCTCCCTCCACCCATACTGCCTTCTCCGGGCACTGAGCCCTGTGTCGTTCCTAGCTTCACAGTGTACACGAAAGGCTTTGGGAGCTGAAACCATCTGTTAGCGTGTATTTCCCAGTCAAAAAGCACCGCTTCTGCAGCGTCAGCAAGTGTCAGGGGTTTACTGAAGTTCACATAATAAAGCAAAGATGGTCTGTGGTTTGGAGGAGTTCAAAGATCTCTCTGCTGCTTTGTTTTGTGACCTTTAACAGTTTGCATAATTACTTGGTATTTCCACACTAAGGAACTAGAAAGTGCTTCTAGACCAGAATTATATTTGAATGAAAGGTGTTATTGACAACCTGAGCACTGATGGTCCCAAGCAAGAAAGATATTGTTCTGCTTTTCTAGAAAAAGCAGCAAATACCCAATCTAGAAACATCCACAAGTCTCAGGTGGAAGGTAGTCTTGGGGATCTGGAGCTGACACACTCACTGGCATTTGGAGCAGGACAGTTGTTTGCCAGGAATATAAGTGGCCAACCCAATTGAACAAATCTGTTCCCGCTGTCTGTCATCGCTATCGGCAGGATGATAACCCTGGCAGCACCTTCAGGCATAGTTTAAAATACTTTTATGTTGGAAAGCACCATTTCAGTGTCTTCATAAATGATACAGGCAATTTCTGTTCACCTTGCTGTAGGACAGTACCTGGTTTTCACTTGCCCTGTGCTGTGTTGTGCTGTAACAGCATGTATAAAGCGAGGCGGAATGCGTTTGGTTTCTGTTAGAAGCCAGAAATTCAGCAACTTTCCTTTTCCTTCTAGAGAGAAGGGTTTTCCAAGTTCAACAAGATCTATGAATACGACTACCAGATATTTGGCCAGGTAGAGTTTTCTTTCATTCTACTGCTGGATTAGAGAAGTGCAAAATACTAATTGTTAAAAAAAAGCCATTTGTCAGAAGTTATGAAACACATATCCAGTGATGGGGCTATTTTGTCCAAAGATGACGAAAAGTCGGATGTTCTTTTCTTGGCTCAACCACTGACCTGTTTTATTGCTTTAAGCCTTTCAACTTTCTGGGTTTTATATCAGTAAAAAATATGCTGCTATTTAGAATTGGGAGCTTCCTACAAAAATTGATGATGAGGCTGTAGAATTAGCTGTCAGTAGAGAGAAGAGCTTGTTACATGTCACTGATTGTGTAAATTGAGAAGTTCGTCAAGATCTTGGGGCTGTGGGTAGTTTTTAGCAAATGATAGGCACTAATTACCTTGCTCTGTCTCTTGCAGAACGTTACTATGGTGATGACATCGGTGTCAGGACACTTACTGGCTCACGATTTTAAGCTGCCATTTCGAAAATGGTTAGTACTTAGTACCCCCTGGCAGGAACAGGGGGCTGTCACCTTCTGCCTTCAGCCCTGAGCTGAGGGGGCACTGCCAGTTCAAAGGCTGGGGAGCAGGGAGGGATCCTGACACTGCATGCAGCGCAGGGATGAGTACCAAATTTTATATAGAATAGCTAAAATATTGGTTAAAATTACTGACTTCAGGGCATTAAAAACCCCTGACATTGTAATATTGGTTAAAATACATCAAAGCAGACCCAAGGAATTAAACTGTTTCCAGTACTTGACTGATGTTTTTGTGGTTTTTGTTCCACTGGGAGTTGTCTTGGTAAGGGAAGTGCTTTCTCTAGCTTCCCTCCCCTTTGTCCTCTGTGTTTGAAATAAGAGAAGTTGCCTGTTCAGGGCTGTTTTCCAGATTTGTTGTTTTCTGTGGTTGTTTTTTGGTTCCGTTGCTTTTAAGGGTAACTCAGCATTTCATGTAAACTCTAAGTGGTCTAAGAAGAGGCCCATAATAAAATATATTATTAATTCCAGTATTCAAACAGCGCTTTCTCACAAGATAGCACCAGTTAGTGTCTCACAGCATATGTTTTAGTTTTTGTTATGCACACTGTTTATCCTCTGTTTACCAGGCACAGCTGCAACCCTCTAGCTCTTTTTGATGCTGAAATTGAGAAGTATTGCCCAGAAAATTACGTGGATATCAAGGTAGGTTGTTTCTAAGAGTATCCCTGAAACTGAGTTCAGAGTTTAGTTCTACAAATACTGTCTCGGAGAGAAGGACGATTATACCTTTGTCCTGAACAACTAAGTTTCTACAATTTAGCAAATTCCTCCTGCATTTGCTAGGACGATATATGCTGTTCATTTGTGATATTGAAAGTCTCCTGCTTCTCTACAGTTAGTGTGGTAAAGGAACAACTGCTCTGCTAGAAGTAGAAATGTTTTTTCCAACAAGGTGGGATTGGCAATTGCATCTCAGTTTTACAAAAAATGACACTTTCAGAAAAAGATTGTGGCACAATCTGATCCAAGCTACGCTTTTTAACAGTTAGGTGTAAATCAATGACTCAGTTCTTTTGAAAGCTCCCTAATAGCATGAGGGACACAATTACAAAATGTTATTGCACCAGTCGATCTCTATGGATACACACTGCATTTCATGTTGTGAGTCATTCTAAAATGAAATGGCAGAGCAAGTGGCCTGGTCTGTCTCACTCTATGTTGTTTTCTCATCTCAGAGAACCCTCGAACGAGAAGTCCAGCAGTGCCAAGCTCTGATGATCTGGACCGACTGTGATCGAGAAGGAGAGAACATTGGCTTTGAGATAATTCACGTTTGCAAAGCTGGTGCGTAGAACATCTTCTGCATCAATCTGAGTTCCATTAAAGCACTGATTTAACAGGTATTACTGCTCAGAGATCTCGTAACAGGTGTATTCTCAACGTTACTGTGTCCAGGTTAAATGTGTTGACTGTAGTTCTGATAAATACATGGCTCTGATAGATCAGGAATAAATTTAGCTATTAGAAAGCTATAGAATAGGTTGATAGCATACTCTTTCAAAAATAGCTGTTCATTAGTTGCTCCTTTCTGTTGGTGTTTGAGTCGTTCTTTGATTTCTCTTTTTTTTCTGACAGTAAAGCCAAACCTCCGGGTTTTCCGAGCCCGCTTTTCAGAGATTACACTTCACGCTGTCAGAACAGCCTGTGAGAACCTCACCCAACCGGATCAGAAAACAAGCGATGCTGTTGATGTCCGGCAGGAGCTGGACCTCAGGATAGGTACGTAAACATGTGCTGGAGATAAGAGCAGCTGCCAGGCTTGAGCTGCTGCACACACCTCTTCTAAAGGGAAGCAAACAGCAGTGTGGTAGGTAGGCAGGCGACAGCTTTGTTATCAGTGTAGAGCTTTTTGTCTATAAATACTTGAATGCGCATTGTTAAAACCCAGCGAGGGGTTTTTGGAAGTCATGTGTTACTCTGTCCCCAACACCAGACAGAATTATCCTCTGTAGTATCACAAATCTGATTTTTAGGTCAGATACAACTAAATCACATCTTATGTTTTATCAGAAATATGCTCTCTGAAGCAGGTGTTAAGTTTATAGCTCACATAGCACTGACAGGCTTCTGCAACTTTGAGTATTAAATTAATAATTAAGAGTATTAAAAAGGACCATCTGAAGTGTTGTGATTCTCCTCCAATGTTGTATTACTCAGTTCTGGTGTCCATTTTGTTTTCTCAGGTGCTGCCTTCACCAGATTCCAGACACTGAGGCTCCAGAAGATATTCCCTGATATTTTAGCAGATCAGCTGATCAGCTATGGTAGCTGCCAGTTCCCAACACTGGGGTTTGTAGTTGAGCGCTTTAAAGCCATCCAAGCCTTTGTTCCTGAAGCCTTCTATAAAATTAAAGGTATGTCTGGGGAAAGCAAGTCCTGGGCTTCATCTTAAAGAGCTTATTGTGTATAGAAAGGAAAAACATCAGGGCAGCAAACAAACAAACAGTGCTGCAGAGGTGGTTTCCGCTTCCTTTGCTGTGACCACTAAGCAGAACTAAGATGTTTCCCAATAGCGTGGCCCCCCACCTCTGCTGTATTTCCTTTGTATTCCTGCTATATCACTCGGACCTGTTGTTCACCAGTGACACATGATCATGAAGATGGCAGTGTGGTCTTCAGCTGGAAGAGAAACCGGCTCTTTAATCACACAGCATGCCTGATCCTTTACCAGATGTGTATGGAGGTAGGAAAGCTTGAAAATAGTTGTATAATCCAGTATCAGCCAAGCATTTCCTGCATCCATCTTACTCAAGAGCTTTAAAGAACAGTTTGTGTAAACTCTAAAGGAGATTTTGCATTTTGCTTGCTCTGTGTTTAGGATCCGGTAGCAACTGTTGTTGAGGTTGGGAGCAAGCCAAAGAGCAAATGGAGGCCCCTGCCCCTGGACACTGTGGTACGTTTGAACTCTGCTGAAGGGACTTATCTGAAAGAAGCTTTGAACAGATACTTTACTCACTGCTCTGAATTATGCACAAATACTTCTTTTTTCTTTTTCTGTCTCCTCCCAACACAGGAACTTGAGAAGCTGGCTTCCCGCAAACTGAAAATAAATGCAAAGGAAACCATGAGAATAGCAGAAAAACTCTATACTCAAGGGTAAGAAAGCAAGGCTTGGCTTAGTAAACTTAATTCTTTCAAAAGTAAACAGCCTTTAGTCCAAAGCGGGAAGCATCTTGGAGCACCTCTTAAAGCACTCTTCTGCCTTTCTCCTTAAGGTTCATTAGCTACCCTCGAACTGAGACCAACATTTTCCCCAAGGAGCTGAACCTCTCTGCCTTAGTACAACAGCAAACACAGGACCCAAACTGGGGAGCATTTGCACAGAGGATTTTGGATCAGGGTGGGCCAACCCCTCGGAGGGGAACCAAATCAGATCAGGCTCACCCTCCCATTCACCCCACAAAATACACTGCTAACCTGCAGGTGAGTTTAACAAAGGCAGATAACTGGATGGTTTGTATTGCTTGATAGATAAAGATAGAAGTCTTAATAATAGGGTCATTAGCACAGTATCATCACCTGAGCTCTCACTAATATTTCTTGACATCTTATTAACACAGGAGGACACTGATCCTCTTTTTCTGTTTGATATTAGGGCAGTGAGCAGAGACTATATGAATTCATTGTGCGCCATTTTTTGGCTTGCTGCTCTCAAGATGCCAAGGGACAGGAAACAACTGTGGAGATCGACATTGCTAATGAGCAATTCATTGCTCAAGGACTAATGATCCTGGCCCGAAATTATCTGGAAGTCTATCCTTATGAGAAGTGGAGCGATAAGGTAATACCCTCAAATAGCGTAGACAGGAGAGGCTAAAGTACCTGGAGTTTAAAATCACATATCACTGCTGACTTCAGACCCCTCTACAGAACATCCTTTGACAATTTCTGGCCCACTGGCTGTTTCACTCAGCCATCTCTGCTGAAAACCTGTGCAGCTTTATTGTGTCAGCTTTGCATAGATTCTTCCCCTTCTGACACCACAGCAGAGGCCACACAGGGCTGTGGGGTTGACTCGACTCACCCAGAGGAGCTGCAGTTGCCATTCTGTGGCTCTGGTGGCTCATTAGTGGCTAATCTTGAGGACCCTGAGACTGGATCTCCTCCAGCGCAGGGTACTGCTCTATGACTGCACTAGCCTGCTCTTAGCATGACATTTTGTCTTCAATGAATGGACCAGAAGGCAGTTTCAAAGAGATTCTCCTTCCCTTCAGGTTATCCCAGTGTATGAGAAAGGGTCTCGCTTTCAGCCCACTACAGTGGAGATGGTGGATGGGGAAACCAGTCCTCCATTGCTCCTCACAGAAGCGGATCTCATTGCTCTCATGGAGAAACATGGCATTGGTCAGTATTGACAGTGTGGCCTTTTGCTCTTGGGAGAGCTTTGTTCACGAACTCCTTTTTAACTTCTCAAAGTTCCGTCCCACCCTCAGAGTAGGGAATTCTCTAAATGTCACTTCAGATAAGAAATCACTTAAATGTACAGAACAAAAGAATAGTTGAGACCTGTGGGGAAAGTCCAGAGATCCTAAGGAGCCTGCAGAGTGCCCCCAGTACCTGGGGAGATGTGCAGTTTAGGGTCCAAGTTGTGCCCACCAGCACCTTGTTGGCCTCAGTACCCGTGGGACAGGAGGGCAGTGCTGCTCCTGCCCATAAGTTGTCTCCTTGTCCCTTTAGCACCTTGCTCTCTGCATTAGGCACTGGGGAAATCTCTCCTCAGCACCTAATTCAACTAACCTGTCTGCTTTCAGGGACTGATGCCACTCACGCTGAGCACATTGAGACAATTAAGACGCGGATGTATGTGGGCCTTACGGCGGATCAGCGATTCCTCCCAGGTCACCTGGGCATGGGGCTGGTTGAAGGTAAGGGCAATGCCTGTTAGGAAGATGGCAGGTTCCTTGCTTGCTCCTTCCTTTCACTTACCGTGCCGTGTGTTCCTCAGGCTATGACTCCATGGGCTATGAGATGTCCAAGCCTGACCTTCGAGCTGAGCTGGAGGCTGATCTGAAACTCATCTGTGAGGGGAAGAAAGATAAATCTGCAGTATTGCAACAGCAGGTCCAAAAGTACAAGCAAGTCTTCATTGAAGCTGTGGCCAGAGCCAACAAGTGAGTCCTGTCTTTGCCCTTTTCTGCTTTGCTGTTCTGGGAGGTGCTGGCTTCTCATCTGGGGCTGAGGAATCCTGTCACACTGTTTTCCTGGAGCTCTGCCTGCTGTGTGTAGGATTTGCATGGGAAGGGATGACTCGCAGCCTGGCATGCTGTCATGAGTTGGTGCCAACTGACTGCTCATCTTGGCTGAAACCCTTAAGATTAAATTCAGAGCAGGCTGAAGGAGATGGCAACTGCACCCACACCCACAGCTTGTTCTAGAGGCATGGTGCTGTATCAACGTACCTGTGGAGAAGCTCAGAGGGGCTGGGTGGAGGGCAGCAGGCACTAGTTCACTGCAGAGCCTCATTGCTTTTTGCAGAGGAGACACACAGGATGCTCTGCTTGTTTCTTTATAGGTTGGACCAGGCCTTGGCTCAGTATTTTGGAGAAGCCACAGAAATTGCAGAGCAAGAGGAGGTCTACCCAGCAATGCCCGTTGCTGTTCGGAAGTGTCCACAGTGCAACAATGACATGGTCCTGAAGACCAAGAAGAACGGCGGGTTGGTGATCTTCCCTGTTGTAGAGCATAGCCTTCTGCGTTGGTTTATGTTTTTTGAGGCGTTGTTCGTTTACGTCCCCTCTGCACCAGGTGTAAAACTTAGGCTGCAGCTAGCTAACTCCACTAGCTATGTAAGCTGTGTGGACTCAGCTCTCTCAAGTACATATTTGCACTTAAAACTTGTTGTTTTGACAATTTCTGATGGCTGAGCATACAGGAGAACAGATGACTGACCGTTTTGACTTTGCCTCTTCCTCACTTGGTGCCTTTGTCCTGTGGCAGGTTCTATCTCAGCTGCATGGGCTACCCAGCTTGTAAAACAGCAGTCTGGTTCCCTGATTTTGTGCTGGACGTGTCCAGGGATGAGAGTGTCTGTGCTGTGTGTGAACCGCATCCAGTTCACAGGTAGGTCAGCAGTTATCCCATGGGGAAACATAACCCCTCACACATTATGTGTTAGCCATTAGGGCTAGAGACTTCTGTGGACTAGGCTGGGCAACTATTTTCCATTCCAGTCTTGGAAAGCTGGAGTAGCACTCTCATGGCTTGGGAATAAAAATAAGAGGGGTTGGGGAAACCCATGTAAGCATAATAGAATTTAGAAGAAAAATTAAACATCGAGTCCAAATCAAGGTCTGTTGATGAGCAGTTATATGAACTGGGAGATTTAATTCTTTCTTTCCTTTCAGACTCAAGTTTAAGTTCAAGAGAGGCAGTGTTCCACCGGTGATGCCCCTGGAATTTGTTGGTTGCATCGGAGGTTGTGATGACATGCTAAAAGAGCTCTTAGACCTGAAATATTTACGCAGGTCCTCCCAACCTGCCTCGTCAGCCAGCCAGCAAGCAAATCACCTGCATGTCAACACCTCTTTTAACAGAGCTAGTGGTGAAAACAGGCACATGAGGGGGAGCACAAACCTGGCACAGGGACATCTACTCTCCTTGAGCTCAAGGGGAACACCCAGGCCTGCTCCTTCGGCTGCTCCAGACGATGAGAACAACGCTGTGGTGTGCAACTGTGGGAATGAAGCCCTGCTGTTAACTGCACGCAAGGAAGGGCCCAATCAGGGCAGGCAGTTTTATAAATGCAGTGCCGGTACCTGCAACTTTTTTCTCTGGGCTGATCAGCAGTCAGAGGACAGAAACAATGTGGTTCTGCAGGGCTCTGAGCTGCCCCAGCCCTTTGCAGGAAGGGGCCCAGCAGGATTTCAGCACCCAAGAGGGAGAGCCCCAGAGTTCTTTGGAAGCAACAGCTCTGATTCAGGAGGCGGCACAGTCTGCAAGTGTGACCAGCCAGCCGTCACACGCACCGTCCAAAAGGATGGGCCCAACAAAGGACGGCAGTTCCACACCTGCTCTAAACCCCGAGAGCAGCAGTGTGGCTTCTTCCAGTGGGCAGATGACAATGTGGCACCAGGTAAGGCTGGGCTTGGGGGGAGAGGCAAGGGTTGGAGACTGTTCTTAAAGCTAAACTGAACACACTTCTCTCATGTGTGCGATGCTGCTGCAGCATGACAGCTCTTGTAGCAGGTCACACATAACAGACTCGAGGTTTGCCTTTAGAACATCAGTCTACAACATTACAGTGCTTCAAATGTTGCTTGTAACACCCGAGTCTGGCTTACCTGTCCAAGTGCTAGCAGGGTATGTCCTCATAGCACACATCTGCTCCAAGCAGGATGTTTTGCTTCTGTGCACAGTAAGCGTGAGCATATGGCTGTCCGTGACTCATTGGATAAAGCCCAGTACTCTTTCCAACAGTCAGTCTGGGAATTTGTCCTCCCAAATCACAGTGCTCAGCTCTGTGAGAGCTGGTACTGACTTGGTGCAGAGTTGAAGCAGTGGCACCACTTTTGGGGATCTTAAACCCCATTCTGTCATGCCAGGGAAACTACGCTGCTCCTTCTGTCCTAGTTTAGAAATGCAGTGAAAGGCCAAGGCTGGAGCTTTGATCAGAGCTGAGAAACTCAGTGTGGCTGCTGTGGAAAGATGCTGAAAACAAGTACCCATAAAAATAATCACAAAATAAGGGTGCAAAAGAAAGAGCACTGATGTGAAGGGACAGTGAGCAAAGTACAGAGGTAGAGATGTGGTCTGAGAGAGATCTTCAACACTGGCCTCCTCCTCAGACATTTGGGCCTAAAGGGGTAGAATCAAGTTTTCAAAACTACTTAAAAAGCAAGTTTTCCCCTGGCATGTTTTGTTGTTTCTGCTTCAGCTGTAAACCAGAGCATGCAACCAGGCAGATCAGTTTCCCCTGTTCTCTTCCCACATTTCTCTAATGCTGCAAGACAAATGGGTAACATTTAACTGTCTAGACAAGGCTGAAGCAAGTGTAGTTTCTGGAATAATCTTGAGTGGCTGGGATAGTAAAATCCTTGATCTGCCATTTTGAACTTATCTTCTGTTTCTCACCTACTTGCATTTAGGTACCTTTGAAAATCTAAGTTGTTTCTCTCTAGGGCCTTCTGGAGATGTCTCTTTGAACCACTTTGGCAACAGTGGATACTCAAGAGGGATGGGAAGTAAAGCCAAGAGACCAAGCAGTCTCTCCTCAGGAGCCACTGCTAAGAAGCCACGGACCTGTAGCATTTGCCACCAGCCTGGCCACACTAGGAAAACCTGCCCTCAAGACCACTGAGCCTGGAAGGTTCTGGGGTTACAAGCTGCTGCAGGAACAAGAACTGGAGTCTGGAAACAAATCTGAGTTTGTGCAAGGGCTGTTTGCAGGCTGCTCCTGCCAAGGGATACTGTCCTCACACATGCATTACATGCCCGGGCAGCAGGGGTTCAACCAGCTTTAGAAGGTGGCTCCGCTACTGGTGTCAGCCTCTATTTTCTGCTGCTCTTCTGCTGAGCAGATTGGGATAGCCTGAACACTTCAAGGAAGGATTTTGAAACTGAATTGCTGAGAAAACAGCACTGGATCTCGTCCACCTGCAGCTCCTGCCATGGTAGCGGTTGTATGCAGCCTTTCCACCCAAGGAAGAGCTGCCTTGTAGCCACTCAGATACCGGGGCTGCTGAGCTCTTCCCAGTCCCTGGCTTTCCACAGTGTGGAGTTGTATTTTCTCTTCTAAACTGATGTTACTGGAGCAACATTCCCCTTTTTTTTTGGTCAGAGCCATGCCCCTTACCTTGGTTCACCTGCACTGAAGGAGGACCCGGGGCAGAGAAGCTGGATCTGGGGCTTGCCCTGAAGGGGAAGCTGGGCAGCTTCATTTTAGACAGTTCTGAATTTGAAACCAAGTTGTTCCTCAAACCTTGAGGCATGCCTCTGTGATGCTGCTAGCTAATGGAAGGTTTTTTTGTCAAACTAGTAAGTTTCTTATTAAAAGATTATTTAATTTTAAAATTCAGTACAGTGTCATCTTAACTCTGCCTTATTATTTCTTCCTACTTAAAATAGTTAAGCTATTACTGTAAAAGCATCCACCTAAATCTTGCTCTTTCCACTCATAAGAACAATCCAGCAGCTTTCTTGGCAGAAACTCCCTGCAGTTAGTTACAAGTGAGCTGCAGAGGGGTAGGGAAAGGGCTTTTATCTCACCAGCTGCATCTGCTGTGGTGTTGCCTGGGGACAGACCGACCAACAGCTGGCTGGACTGAAGGGAAGTTCTGTTTCCCTGCACTTAGTTTAGGCTGAACTCCAGGCTACCTCCTCCCTCTCTGTTGGTGCTTCCTCTGTACATCAAAGAAAGTAGATCCACAAGATTCCTGTGTCCTTTTCTGCTGGAGGACAGTATTGTTTTTCCTCAGGGCCCCTGATGCTGCCCAGGACCCTGCCCCTGGACACAGAGCCGTTCCCCAGGGTAAGTCCTGAGGTGACAGGCAGCAGCCAGGAGGCTAAAGCACTTTCTATAGGGGGTACCTGGAAGCAGAGGAGAGCACAGCAGTACAAATTGGCTTTAAGGTCCACATGAGAGAAAAGAATGCCTTTAACTCTGCAGCAGCCCACTGCTCTCAGGAATAAGATCAGGAGAACTTGGGTAGCATTTCCCTGCACCCCTCACTTCCACGATTAACAGCTGTGGCCTAAAAATACAGACCTGCTGGCTAAAATAACAGGATTACGAGGTGTAATGCAATCACTGAGTTGGCAAAAGCACAGCAGAAGTCTGGGCAGCAGCCTTTGAATAGCAGCAGCAGTGGAAAGCATTTGTGTGGCACACAGGCAGCAGGTTAAGCGTTGCCCATGGCATCAGCCCTTACCAGCTTTACTGGTCTAACCCTGGTTCAGGCAGCTGAGGAGCTGGAGCCGCTGAGGAGATGGCATGAGCTCAGCATCCAGACAGCTCATGCAGCAGCCAGGCGCTCTGTAGGCCTAGGGCTTTGGAAGAGGAAGAGAATGGCCTTGCAGGGCAGGGCCTGACCACCCCTGAGCTCTCGATGAAGCAGGGGACACCCTGGGCAGCGCTGGGTGGTTCTCCAGGATGCCACCACAGCTGGAGGAGCTCTTCAGCCCTTAGCACAGGGAAGGAGACAAACGAGCTGACACAAGAGAACTAGTAGACACAGGGAGGGTTTATTCTCATTGCTAGCACCTGGGAAGTGGTTTGGAGGAACAAACTAAGTGGTTTTCAGATAGGGTTTATCTTCTTCCCATAAACAAGATTACAGCAGTAAAGAAAACTAAACCACAACAGCTGCTCACATTGAAGTTCATAGGATTTCTCTCAACTCCACCAGTGTGCAAAAAACAGCTCTTCTCATTAAATATAATAATATATTCCTTCTCCTTGGGACCACAGCCAGAACCAATGCCTACTAGCAGCCACTCAAAAAAAAAAACCAAAAAAACAAAAACAAAATACTCAAACTCAACATACATTCTTAATAAAAAGCATAAACCGCTTCAGTTCTTGCAAGCACTCTGCTCAGAGCATCATTCCTGTCCTCCTTTCCTGCCCCACACCACGGGGCTCCAGGGGAGCAGGACCTCAGAACAGCAGCAATATGTGTGTGAAAAGGTCACTGGGCAGACTGGAGACACTGTGGTTTGCTGCAGAGCAGCAAGCACCCGCAGACAGACACTGGCAGCGACCCATCCGTCAGGGAGGGCACACGCAGCCCTGCTACAGCCTCCACCGAGGGACTGATACCAGGAGCCTCCTGGCAGCCTGCAGCTCTCTTTCACCACTGCCTATTTTGGAGTATCTTCTGGAAAAACACTGTGTTGGACAAGAACCACGAAGCCCCAGTGCCATGCTGGAAGCACGCCCTTTCCTCGGGGCAGAGCCGATGCTGGCAGAATGAAGAGGTAGGGCTAAGTTCACCCCTTTTAGCAGCTGAAAGGGTTTCCAGAGAGTAAACTCACAGCCCCGTTTGCTATGGCTCTACCTTCAAGCGCCCAGACAACCACCCAGGTCATCGCTGGGGCTTTATTTCAGCTTGGAAATATCCTAAAGACAGATGAGGCTCCCACTCTGTCCCAAAAGCTGGCCTGGGAGCATGGCACAATAAGACCAAGTTGGGTGCTGGTGAAAGGACCCACCCAGGACACTGCACCCGTGGGGTCTGCTGGATGCAGCAGCAGCAAGAAACTGCTCCCCTTCAGCTCCCCCACTGGTCTCAGAGCACAAGGGAAGCCTGGCAGCTGGGACAGGCAGAGGACACTGGGAACCAGAGACCAAACATGCTTCACGTTGGCTCCCATTGGCGGGACTCACCTGTAGGTAACTTGAGGTGTGGGCTGCACTCGCCCTGGGTTCAGCAGAGCCTCCCAGCCAAAGGCTCCTCAGGCCAGCACCCACCTCGATTCAGGCACGTTTTATTCAGACAGGAAATTATTATTTTTTTCTTATAAAGTGCAAGAACTTTGCCTCTTACTGACTAGTCAACTAGAAGCATTGCAACCCTCACAGTGGGGAGCAGCAGATGGGCGAGGAACACCCTACATTTGGGAGCTCCCCACGCACCAGTCATTTCTCCTTCAGCAGGAGTTCTGGCTCCGATATGGCCCTGTAGAGCATGAAGCCCATCTCATCGATCTCCTCTTCCAACAGATCGCAGAAGAGGTTGATTTTGGGGTTGAAATAGGAAGGCAGGACCCCTTTCTCCAGGTAGCCTACCAGCTCCTCGAGCAGCTGCTGGAACATGTCAGCAAGGCTTTCTTCTGCCCAGTCCAAACTGGTGGCACTGAGGTGAAGGACAACGTGGGTCAAGGGGCTGCCACTCAGTTTGTGCAGGGCAGGATGGCTCTTGCAGATGCTGTTCAGAATGCAGAGGCAGCGCTGCCTAGCCCCAGAGTCACCAGCATCCAGCTCCTTCACCTTTGAGACCTCTGCCCTGTAAAAACTCTCAAGCCAGAGGTTTTCCACCAGTCCTTCAGGAGGAGCAGCCAGGAGAACCTTGTCCTCCATTTCCACCACTGGGAACAGGGTGATGCTCAGCTTTATCTGATCATATTTGACTTCCAGTTTCAGCTCCTGGGAGGCCACAACGGGGTGGATGACACTCCCCAGCAGACTGCCTATGGCAGGCCAGTTGATGGAGGCCACCAGCATCTTGTGGAGGGTCTCATTGAGCATGTTGGAGGAGAGATACCGGCCCACGATGAACCTGTCCCAAGGGCTGCGCCCACGAGGAAAATACTCCAGATCAGTCCTCTTGATCAGCCAGTACTGGGGGTTCCTCACCACAGTGTCCTCTCCTGGGATGAGGCTCCAGAGTGTGGCATCAAGGACCACTGGCAGCATGAGGTGGATGTGGTCGGCCGCCAGCGCCCCAAGGCCATCGAGCAGGGGACCACTGAGGAAGAGGCTGCCAAAGGGCAGCTCTGGGCACTTGCTCCGCAGAAAGTTCTGTAATTGGGTGCAGATGCTCCTGGCCAGCTGCAGGGAGACAGATGCTTGTGTCTCAGGGACGGTGAGCCGGCTGCTGTAGTAGGAGAGGAGCTTCTCCTGCAGCGTGAGGCAGCACGGAGAGCTGGATTCGACCTGGGGAGTCTCTGGAGGGGCAGAGCAGACCCTGAGCTCTGTGAGAAGGGTATAGGGCAGAGGGAAGGGAGAAGTCACAGCTCTGAGCAGATCATCTGCAGCCTACAGCAGCAGCTTCTGCTGCAGCTGAGGGAGAGGCATGAGCTGGGTGCCCAGCTCTCAGCCCACCTCTCTGGACATGGGTCTGACCTTGCCAAGACGGCCACCACCAAGTCCTCTGATGTTTGCAGCACTTATCAGCCAAGGCAGAGCTCAAACTAACCTCAAAACCCAACAGCACTCGGCCTCGCCCCGCAGCTAGAGATGGGTAAACCAGGCTAAGCACCACCAGCCAGGCAAGGGACTCACTGCCAGGGTCCCTATAAGTCTCAGCCCCACTGAGACTGCTCAGGCAGATCCATCTTGCTCTGCTGCCTGCCTGATCACTTGAGTCCTGTGAACAATCCTGCTCCGGGTCAGGTATCTCAGGGCCTGCCTCGCACCAAGCTGGGCTGCTTTCCCTCTTGGAAAAACACCATCTTTGTAGGCAGCAAGACAAGGCAGCCTTTGTCAGCAGCAGCTCCTGAGCGCACCTTCCTCTGAGCAGAGCTGACCCAGAAACCGAGCCCAGCAGACACTGCTCCAGAGGAAACAAAGCCCCGACGGCCTCCACCACACTGCGCTGGCTGAGACTTTATCAGAGGTGCCGTTACCACAGGCATTACCTAAAAAGGGGCTGTGGCTTGGGAGCCTCCCAGAAGGGCAGGCTCAATCGGGTCGGCTTTCCGGACACAGAGCTAAAAATAACGTGGAGCTCCCAGACCACGGAGAGCAGCGGCACAGCCAGCCCCAAGCACATCAAGGTGATCTTCCCGACAGTGACGGGAGCTGGCACAAACACCACGAGCCTCACCTGGCACCAGCGGCAGAGCCGGAGAGAGCAGAGGTTCGCTGAGGTCTTCCCTTCTCTGCTTCTTGGGGGGTTTTGGTGTTGCTTTAATCAAAGCTAAGTCCTGCCAACTCTCCTCCAGGGTCTTCTGTTCAGCTTTGGGATCGCCTTCATCGCGAGGACTGGTGGCTCGATCTATCAGCTGGAGGGAAGGAAAACCCACATGGACAAGTTACTATCTTTGTCCCATTCTCCACAGTCCCATCTTGCACTAAGGGGGACAACAGCCCCTCTGGTACATGCACAGGGAGACACAGCCCCACGCCCAGCTTCTACTAGCAAAAATATATGGTTTAGGGGGCCACAAAGGTAGATATTTTCCCCCTGCAGATTTTAAGTGGAAAAGAGGGGGCCAAACATGAATTAAACCCAAGGTGCCTTTCTGAAGGGAATACTGCATCCCAAACATGTGCCGTTCCAGGCAAACGGGGCGCAGGGCGGCGCATGCCTCCTCAGGGTGGGAGCAGGCAGCTCCATGCCCATGGCGCTGCCGTCGGGCATCAGCCTCGCAGGACCAGCTCTGCAGCCAGGGAGCAGCCAGACAGCTTTGGGGCTCATCTTCCCCCCGCACTGCAACCGGGGAGCACAGCGTCTTTGCTCCGCATCCTCCGAGCCCCGACGGCGGCCGCGCCGGCCTTACCCGCTTGACGGCCAGCGTGGCGATGGCCAGCACGGCCGCGCCAGTGACGCCTAGCACCAGCCTGGCGTTGGCCAGCAGCAGGTCGAGGACGTTGCCCAGTCCGCTGTCCTCCTGCCGCTTGCCCCGCGGGCGCGTGAACTCGGCCATGGTCGCCCTGCGGAGGAAGAGGAGGAGTGGGCTGTCGCCCTGCACGGGGGGCAGCC